ATAACAACAACAATAAACAAACACATAGAGACAGAGATTGGATTGGTGGTTACCAGAGGGGAAGGGGGGAGGGAGGAGGGCGAAAGGGATAATTCGGCACAAGTGTGTGGTGATGGGTTGTAATTAGTATTTGGGTGGTGAACATGATGTAATCTATGCAGAAATAGAAGTATAATGGTGTACACCTGAAATTTATACAACGTTATACACCAATGGTATTGCAATAAACAAAAAATTTAAAGAAAAACAAACTTCTGCATGGTAAATGAGTGTGTTTATTCAACATCTGCCCTGTGCCGGGCCGCATGCAATGAGCATGGTGGAGGGCTAGAGGTGGTCCACCACGCTTGCCCACAGCCGCGTGACACACGTCGATTCTTCTTACCCTCAGTGTGGTCTGTTGGCCACTTCATGAAAAAACTGTTTTCAGCTTCCATTCTCTAAAGCTCTATACTTGATGCATTTTCAAGCTCAGATGTAAAATGTACTATTGTTAAAAGGTGAAAAGACTGGTAAAAGGTAAACCGTGATAACATGGTTCTATTCATTGAAACATTGTTTACTGATCACTATACGCCAGGCCTACTGGATGTTTATAAGGTAATTTTAAGTAGCATGTAGACTAACTAAAATTTTTGTTAGGTATAGATTCACTTTAATATGTTTTGTGAAAAAAATGTAATGACATCAGTGATTTCATGGATATTATGAATATAGTTTACGATAAGTCTAAGTTCCCTCCACCCCCAAATAGCCTAATTTAGAGATAGTTAGAAAAAACGTTAAGTATATAATGGTACCGGTGGTACCTGCATATGATAAGAACTGTGAATGTGGTGTGCAGGATTTGGAACCATCTGTGTGATTTCACGGGATTTCACCTAAAACCCTATGGAGGAAGGCAGTAGGTAAAAGGTCACCGTTTATGTGCAAACACGCTCTGGACTCAGACCGCTGGGTTCAAATTCTGCTCTCCTATTTATTTCATTCTATGAGCTTGGGCAAGCCTCTCCAAGTCTTGGTTTCGCCATCTGCAAAATACGGATGATGATTGTGTTTACCTCACGGTGGCAGAATCGAGATTCAAACAGGTCTCTTTGCTATCAAAGCCATGCCATGCCTCTCCGGGGCTGGCAAATGGGTTTCATCTCATGTGCCAATTTGAAGGATTGGAAGAAGCTGCCTGTGGCATGGAGTTGACAAGTTTTTGAGGCTAACCTAGGAAAATGACTAATGTATGGAAGCTGTCACCTTAACATGTGTTCCCTGCACGACGCTCTGCTCTGCTGCTGTCCACTGCTGCCCCAGTGACCAGCTCCCCAAAGACCAGTCAACAAGAATCAGTGTGAAGTGCAGTTGGAACACAATCTAATCCAATCAATGGTTTTCTGTTTACTTTTTCTTCTTTATATTACCACCAATTTAAGAGAGACATACCGTTATCTAAGAATAAGATTTCCACTTTAAAATTAACATAAGTTGTATAAAAGTATTTTACATTAATCAAATGTTACTACGTACCTCTTTGACTACTTTTTTCTAAGGCTACCTAAATATTTCAGTAAACTTAGCAGGCGTCAGAGTTTCTGAGAGAAGAAATGAGAAGAAGCAATATGTGCCCCCCAGCTATCATAGGCTGATCTCGGTCAGTTGTTGGCTGATGCTTCTCCCGACTTCCAAAGTTCTCGAAAGCAACGAACGTGTCCAGCACAAACTGACCCTCTCCAGGTGTTTGCTCCAGTGCAAGGAAAAGGCAAACACACCATCACAATCAGATCAATCGTCTTTGAAAGCTCAGGGCAGCGACAGACCAGGTGGGCCCCTTCAGGAGGCCACGGATCCAGTCTCTCCTACTGCACTGATGCTTCCTTCTGCCAGCAGTTCCCGCTCCGTCCTGCCATCATCCTGGTACTCATCTAGCCACCTGCCAGGGAAACCAGGAAGATAATTAATAGGAGAGAGTATTCAAAGAAGGCACATTACTTAGAACAGAAAATAAAATACAGAAAGGATTTAAAGAGGCCTTCAGGGAGAAGCTCAGAAATTTTAAAAAGCATTTAATATTTCAAGCCACACCAAATTATCTTTAGGACTGCAACTTCAGCAAACCTTTATCCTATACTCTAGTTGCAAGGTCACATTGATTCATCCTGAAATGTTGCTTTTTAGAAACGTCCTACGGTAACATTGCAAATATTCTAGTATATCTTAAAATCAGTAAAAATGTTTCATTTGGAGTTTCCTTACTGGAATCTTTTATTTCTCTCCTTTCATTTGACTGGTAGGTGTATACAGTGGCTAAAACCTCAGACTCTGGAATAGCACTCTGCAAGAGACATATAACATGAGACATGTGTGTAAAAAAAGTAAAAAGAAAAAGAATGAATTTTAATATTTTTCATTTTAATAAATTCTAAAGATGATCATTTAAACATGTAATCAATATAAAAATTTATTGAGTCTTATTACTGTGATGGTCTGAATGCTTGTGTCTTCCCCAAATTCATATGTTGAAATCCTTTGGGAGGTGCTTACATCATGAGAGTAGACCACTCAAGAATGGGATTAGTGCCTTTATAAAAGAGGCTTGGAGAGATGCCTTGCTCCTTCCACCATGTGAGGACACGGCAAGAAGTCGGCAGTCTGCAACTCGCAAGAGGCCTCTCGCCAGAACCTGACCCTGCTGGCGCCCTGATCTTGCACTCCAGCCTCCAGAATTGTGAGAAATCAATGTCTGTTGTTTATAAGCCACCCAGTCTATGGTATTTTGTTATAGCAGCCTGAACCAGCTAAGACAATTACATTCTTTTTTATCCTACATCTTTGAAATCTGGTATGTACCTTACACTTACAGCACATCTGAATTCAGAACAGGCACAGTTCAAGAGTGCAATAGATACTTGGCTAGTGGCTCCTGGATGGGACAGCGCAGTTCCAGAGTTAGAGCCTCCTTGATCTGAATCCAGACTCCACCAATCGTATTTAGGTAAGAAACTTAACCCCTGTGTACCTCAGCTTCCTCACTTCTGAAATAGAAGCATCACAGAGCCTACCTAGAGGTCTGCCGTGAGGACCAGATGAGTTCATGTGTGGAGTTCCAGCCTCACCAGGGAGCCATTTCATGGTCAGAGTGCAATAAATGCTAGCTATGGACATTTTTCTGATTTTCTCCCCAACCATGCAGAAGACAAGTGTGTGAACCTAAAAGGGTCCCACAACAGAATAGACCCCTCCACATCAGTTTTTTATAACTCCACAATAAAGTCCTAAATAATTTCTTTTTCAGAGATCTTTACTTTTCTTATAATTGGAAGAGGACTTGAGTTTTAAATGGCTGTTATGCTGGGTAAACTAGTAAAACCTGTGTCTTCTAAACTCTCAAAATTTCAGTAGCATTTTCTGACAAATCAATTTTATAGTGAATTCAGTAATTTGTGCAGAGATCTCTTCCTCAGAGGTAATTCACAAAATCATGGTGATGTAATGGAAACAACAGATTGATAGACACTAAATTAAAACTCCCCAGAGTGCCCAAGGGACCAAGAGACTCTGCTCTCTGACTACTTGTCTATGATTTGTACACGTCGTTTCATCTCTTTAGGTGTCGGTTTTCTCATCCGTCAAATAAAACACGAGACAAAATGGTATCTATGGCTTCTTCCACCTCTAATGGAATAGCAAGAAAATGTCCCTCTTTTCTTCCTTATGTAGCTCTGGGTCCTCAGAGAGAAGGAGCAAGGAAAACTGCTAATATTGCTACAGTTCAGTTAATGATAATAGAGCAATGACAGGCCTGTGTGCAGTGTTTAACATGACATAGCATAATACAGTAAAATATTTAAATATTTTCATTGGTCTCATTTTGTTCCTTACAAAACCAATTTCCAAGGTTTATTTTACATTTGTAATTTTTGTTATTCTACATTTGTAATTTTTGTCTGTGATTATTCTAAAATGCTAGCTGACCTTGACTTCTACTCCTTTGCATTAGCTCTGAAGAGAAAATGACTACCATTATTACATGCTCTGGATGATTCTTGATTTTTTAAATGTGACATATTTATAATTTTTTAAATGTGACACCTTTATCAAAATGCTAATCTTTTATTTACACCTTAGATTATTCCATATTTACCAATGTATTCAGAGCAATAAAACTATGTCGTATAATATTAAACATAGCTTCATATGATACCAAATATCTAAATGTGATATAGAACCAAATGTCATATATACGTTGGCCAGCATAGCAGCCAATAACCATCTGTGACTATTGAGCACTTGAAATGTAGGTAGTACAACCCAGGACCTGAATTTTTAATTTTATTTGATTTTAATTAAATTTATTAGCCATATGTAGCTAGTGGCTACCATATGGACTGTGCAAGTCTAGAAGTGTAGATTTTTAAAAATAAAAGTCAATTGTTTGGAGAGTTCTAAATACTTGACATATGACCTAGAAATAAAAGTGAGTTTTTCTACTTCATTTGTATAAATGACATTGTATCTAAAGATTTCTTTAATCTAAAATAGATTCTATAACAATAACATTTATCACCATGGAGCTTTTTTTTTTTTTTTTTGCTGTGGAAGATTTGCCCTGAGCTAACATCTGTTGCCAATCTTCCTCTTTTTTTTTGCTTGAGGAAGAGTAGCCCTGAGCTAACATCTGTGCCAGTCTTCGTTTATTTTGTATGTGGGTGGCCACCACAGCATGGCTGACAAATGATGTAGGTCCACACCCAGGATCCAAACCTGTGAACTCGGGCCACTGAAGCAGAGTGCATCAAACTTTATCACTACACCACAGCGCCCACCCTATCATGGAGCTTCTAATAATTGCAAGACATTTTTGCAGTTACTTTATGTACATTGTGTGAAATCTTCAAACAATCCTGCAAAATAGGTGTTGTTATTGCTATTTTACGTAAGAATAAACTGAGGATCCCGGAGCCAGTCAGTGAAGGAGCTGTAATTCAAATCCAGTTCTGAAAAACTTCAAACTTTGCTCTTTTCACTCCCCATTAAGAAATAAAAAGATTTATTGCAAAAAATAAAAATATAAGGTCTCCCAGAACTTTAATGTTATAAAATGGCAATAACTACTACGAGCACATGCATTCTAAATGGATGCGTATTAAGAAAACAAACAAACAGACGATCAGAGAAGTGTTACAAATTTTGGTCATCCAGAATGCAACTCCTTACTAAGTTTCAAAAGAATGGATATTTCCTAGAATCAAAACTATTGTAAGAGAAAATCCCCTCAGTCAACCCACGTGCTTCTCTGCGTGTCTGAAGGTGAGTACAACACTTTAGGAGACAGTGATGCCAAAACACCTGCTAAACTCAGAGCACCCCCAGCTCTCTGGCTTCATTTAGTACCACTCCCTCCTCTCTTATCATTAAGTGGGAGCTCCTTGAAGACAGGGACGCTTTATTTTTTTATCTCTATATATCCAGGACTTGGTATAGTACCTGACATCTAGGAGGCATGCAATGTTTCTGCTTGAATAAATGGATGAATAGATGAATAAACACAGTTCATGAGTTCTCTAGATTCAAGGAACATGCAATCACATAGCATCCGCTTTGGCCCATGAGCTCTCGCATAGGTTTCTATCATGGCCCTTAAGACACTAATGTTTGTTCTCACGTGGGCATCCACTGAGTCCTCGAAGGCAGAGACCATACTGCCTTACTGCTGGATCTTCTTGTCTATTCTACTTCTTGATGTGGTAGGTGGTCAGTTACTATTTGTACAATGACTAATGAATGAATCAACATATTCTATAGATTAATTAATAACAGAGGGAAATTAGTTTTGTAATTTCTATTTGTGGTGCACTATTTTTAAAGGTGTATTTGATATTCTATTCATAATAAGCCTATAAAGTAGGATGGTCTGATTTAATCTTTCTCATCATAAAATTTTGAAAACTGAGGATCAGAAAGTGTAAGCGATTCAACTATGAATGGCCACTGAATTACAGAGCTGCCCTTGCAACTTGATTCCCCTAACATATTATATCTACGCCATATTAGAATAATGCTCTAGAGTTCACAGTTCATACATATAACTTCACTTGCTTTTAAATGATTCAAATGAACTAGGAGGAACAGGTATTATCTCTGTTTTACATATGAAGAAATTGAACCTTCGAGAAGTTGGGAGTAGTACACGTGTTCGCAGAACTAATGGGGAGCAGAGCAGGTGTTGGAGAAACAGAATCAAGAACCTGTTTTCTAAGTCCTAACAGTATTTTTTCCATTTTAGAATGCTTATTCCAGAAAAGAAAAACATTAAACATTACAAATAAAGAGGGAATTAGTAGTGCTGATAAAGAAGAGCTTCTTAGGGCCTGGCCCGGTGGCTTGGCGGTTGGGTGCGCGCGCTCCGCTACTGGCGGCCAGGGTTCGGATCCCGGGTGCTCACCGACGCACCGCTTCTCCGGCCATGCTGAGGCCGCGTCCCACATACAGCAACTTGAAGGATGTGCAGCTATGACATACAACTATCTACTAGGGCTTTGGGGAAGAAAAAAAGGAGGAGGATTGGCAATAGATGTTAGCTCAGAGCCGGTCTTCCTCAGCAAAAAGAGGAGGACTAGCACAGATGTTAGCTCAGGGCTGAACTCCCTCGCAAAAAAAAAAAAAAAAAAAAGAGCTTCCTAGGAGAGAAGGCCTTCAGCTCTGGTTTTAAAGGAGGGAAGGACGTGGTCAGACAGACAGGGGGAGGCATGCTCAGGATACAGCTGGAACAAACTGGACAAAGGGGCGCATAATTTTGCATAATGAGGTGTTAAGTAACAGCCCACCTGTTGCATGGAAACAGCACCTCTTGATTGCTGTGTTCCTCTTCAGATTTAACAACAATGCTCTCAAGAAACCATCCATTACCTGTATAAATTGACAAAGGAGATCACTTTGACTCTTAGCATAAAATATAGTAGTATTGTGATTTTACTCCTAGATTCTCCAAAGGGTCTTTTTTAACTACACTTGTCAGGCAACTTGGGAACAAAAATACGCACATCCGAATTATACCAGTAGAGAAACGAAAGCATGAGTGAACGACCTAATTACTCAGATCAGTAGAAGCAGAGGAAAAGAGAAGATTCCCTATCGGGGACACAAACCCTCTACGAAATTCTAAAACAAGTATCTAAAAGCTGAGAACAAAGAGAGAAGTAAATTCACATGAATGTATTTCAATGCATTATTTACAGAAGATTGATATGTTTAAATAATAATATAAAGTCAAAATCATCACTCTTAATGGTGAAAATTTAGAAATTATCACTGATTACTGTACTTGTCAATGCAATTAAGGAGAAAAATAAGAAAGAAAGGAAAGAAGGAAGGAAGCAGAATGAAAGTAATAGGTGTTAGAAAAGAAGAAACAGAACTGTCATTATTCACGGATAATGTGACTTTCTAAATTAAAAACCCAAGGAACTTATAGAAATAGTGTAGTTAAGAGAGATGAGAAAAATGGTTAGGTATATAATAAATAATAAAAATCCATTACATTTCTATTGACCAGAAAAGAATAGTTAAGAAGCATAATTCAATGAAAGTTACAATGTTGAATTGCTATAAAAATTTAAGAATGTAGGGGTAAACCTAAAAATAGATGTAGTATAATTTATAGAAAAATTATCTAAATTTAAGGAATGACAGCAAAGAAGATATAAACAAATAGCCAGCTATCCCATATTCCTGAGTATGAAGAAATTATAGAGATGTCAGTTTCTCTCAAACTAATCTAAATTCTCAATGTAATTAAATCAATTTCACCACAGGGTTCTAAAAGAAAATTGACAAGCAAATGATAAAATGTACATGAATGAGTAAAGACCAAGAATATCACAGGCAATCCTGAATTAGAGTAAGTTAGGAGATTCATCCTACCAGTTATCAAAATTTATTATAAATCAATACTAATTAAAACAATACAGAATTGGTACTGGCATAGATAAATTGACTGATGGAATGGAAGAGAGGACTCAGAATTGACCTACACATTTATACAGACTCGAGACAGGCAGTCCTTGCTCTGTGTGGTAGCACAGAACCATGAATAGGACTACACGCTGAAACTGCGCCAAGCAATCGTAATAATCAATGGGGAAAATTACGATTGTTCAATTGTTAAACGTTTTTGCCAAAACATCGAAAACTTTCTTACTGTTAATTATAAATGTATATGAAAACGAAAAAATATCAACACTAATATTTAGTACGTTGTAATTTAAAACTTTAGAAACATTGAAAATTAAAAGGTGTATTTCTTGGTAAAGAAACTTACCAAAAGTAGTTTGAATGGTGCTTGCCTTCTTCCCCTCATCATAGAACTTATAATAAAGACCAAGCATCTTTTCTATGCCTTAGCAAATTGTCAAATTCCTTTCTAAGTTTCGATCAGCTTCCAACATTTCATCCTCTGTGCTTTTAATGTCATAAAATATCTCCAAGAGTTCCTTTACTGTGAAGTTTTTACCAACATCACTTCCTCTGGGACGTGTTCATCCTTTTTGTCACAACCACTTTCCTCATTTATAGTCATAAGTTCCCTTCACTAGATTCCTCTGACTGCTTATCTAAAGTCTCTCAAACAGTGACAGTGTCAACATTCCCACGGGCAGATATTTCTTCTGTAACTCCATTTATGTTTGATTTGAACTTCACTTCCAGTATTATCACTTTTTGTTTTTTTAATGTGCTTTCATCTTTGAAGTACACATTTTTGTAAAATGTCACGTGGGTTTATCATGGGGAGACAAGGAGTCAATACAATGACATGCTCTGCTGTCTGTGCCTGAATTGTGGAGCAGACGGGCAGTGACCCGTCACCGACAGACTTTGAAAGAAGTAAAGTGATTGGTCACTGATCTGGATGTGCATTTGTTATCCATGTAGTGATTTGTGGACTGAAGAGCTAGCAGTGAAGTGTGTACTTTGTGCAATCACAATTAGCACACTGTGGTAACTGAAATTTGAACCATTTTGTTGGAGACTTCTGTTATTTAACTAAATCATTGTAATTGAAATTTGTGCCTACAGAAACCATGCAAAGCAAAGGCTGCCAGTATCTAATAAAGGTGTCTTTGTAGAAAACTCAGGAAAAGATGGAGTAGGTGATAAATAGTGGGTACAATTTGTTATCTACACAGAAAAAGTGAAAGTGAATTCCATCTTCACGTCATACACAAAAATCAACTACAGATGAGTAAGCACCCAAATCTTAAAGACAAGACTTTATATATATGTGTGTGTGTGTGTAAACATACATACATACATATGAATATCTATCCATCTATACATATATGGAATACCCTACGGGGAGGGAAGACTTTCTTAAGATACAAAATGTGCTGATCATTAGAAGAAATACCATATTGTTAAATTCAACTACATTAAAATTAAGAATTTCAGTTCATTAAAATATACCAGAAACTGGACAAGATGCAGTGGTAACTGCCAGCTGTTGTCCCTTCTTCAACCACTGCAATGTTATTGCCCACTTCTCCCAAGGGTCTGCAGCTACAGATAACTATGGGACTAATTTGTCAGTAATGAAATGGGACCAGAAGTAATGTGTGCAGTTTCCACCTCACCTACTTAAAAGACATTGTTGCCATTGTTTTCTCTCTTTTTCATGTGTTGTGACCAGCTCTGACCACTCAGAGGAGGATGAGATCTAGGTGATGGTATAAGAACAGGATGAAAGGACCCTGGATCCCTGAGGGCTGGGTGGAGCAGAGCCATCACAACCACTCACTTTGAGACCGTTACCTGAGAGTGAAATAAATTTCTATCTTTCGAAAACCCTTTTTTGAGCATTTTTTAATTAAATGTCCTTTGACTTTATCCTAAATATTATAGACAAGAACATGTATTTCCACAGAAGAGGAAATTTAATAGACAAAAATGAAAGAATGCTCATTCTTCTTAGAAATCAGTGGAATGAAAATTAAGACTACAATAGGATACTATTTTATACCCCAAAATTAAGTGTTTCAGGTGTTTGTGAGAATATGACACAATAGAAATTCTTATACACCGTAGGTAAAACTTAGTACAACCACTTTTGAAAAAAGTGGTTTGTCTTATAAAGCTGATATGATCATCTTCTTTGACCCAGCAACTGACTTCCATGGATTCAGCCTAGGGCAAGGTCCCGCAGCCTCAGCACTGGTGAGATTTTGGGCTTGAGAATTCTTTGCTGTGGGGACTGTCCTGTGCAGTGTAGGATGTTTAGCAGCACCCCAGGCCTCTACCTCTACTAGGTACTAGTAATACCTCTTTCCCAGTGTGACAATCAAAAACAATCTCCAGACACTGCCAAATGTCCCTGGGGGAGGCAAAATCACCCCCACTTGGGAACTGGCACCCTAGAGGAGCTCTTGCTTCTATGCACAAAGAGATGTGCACAAGGACATTCATTTCAGACTGTTGGCGACAGTCAGACTGGATACAACTCAACTACCCATTAACATGAGATGAATAAATTAATTACGTGTTATCATGCAATAGAATGTTACACGGTCATGAAAAAATATCTATAGTATCACACAAGAAAGTGAATGAATCTTAGCAACACAATCTTGAATGAAAAAAAAAATCAATTCACAAAAGACTCCATACAACATGTCACAATTTTTACAAAGCACGAAAAGTATCAAAAGTATTTTCAAGGAAGCCTACATAAGTACGAAAGCTTTCTTTTTTTAAAGCAAGGCTAAAAAAATCAAGAAATGATAAAAAAAGATTCAGGATGGCTACTTTGGGGGAGAGGATAGGAGCAGCAAGTACAGGTAGAATCGCTGGTATTGGTAATGTTCTAGGTTCAAATTGGGTGGTAGGTTATCAGACTATACAAATTTTGAAAATTAACAAAAAAAACACAGCCTAGATACTCTATCACGGCAATTTTTTTCTTTTAATGAAAAGAGTGTGCACAATATAGGAAGTATAGTTTAAAGAATTTAAAAATTATATTATAGTAACTACTTTCAACTTTCCTTAACTAAGTTTCAAATACCTTAATCCCATCAGTCAGAGAAGCCCATCAAAATGGCCAAGTATCCCGCCAAAACCTAGCCCTCACCCCAGCCTGCCTGTCATGTTTTCTTCTTTTCTTGGGGGAGATCTTCATGTGCTTCTGGACTACGCTCGGTCCCCTTGCAGTGTGGTGCAATAGCACTCTGAGGGTCACTTTCAGACGATATGTCCTACTTTGTCATACTTGCTTATTTCGTATGTGTCTGCCCCGCTGGGCCCTGCCTGTGAGGGAAGAGACCCCTGCATCTTGTCCACGTTTGAATGCCCAGCCTCTGACAAAGTGCCTGGCACATAGCAAGCCCACAACAAAGAACTCTTACATCAGAAGGCAGTGATTTTTAAGGAATGTTCTGGGGACCACATGAATCAGAATCCTCTAAGGTGCTTGTTTAAAAAAAGCATATTTCTGAGGAGTCATCTACTGCAGGGAAACATGATAGATGCAATTTTGAAACTGCTTCATAGGTCTGGAGATTTTCCACACACACACACACACACACACACACAATAAAGCTTTTGTCTTCCTAGGAAATTTCCTTCAGAGTAACACAGTAGTGAGCTTTTTAAATCATAAAATAAACCTAACCTGTCAACACTTAATTTAACTATAATTTCTCAAAACAAAATTATTTTCTCATCTCAATTTTACATAACCTGTACATTTATCTTTTCTTTCACTTGCCTCTTATGCTACTTTTAATAAATTTGCAAAACAAACTTCTTACCACGCAAGTTAATCTTACCTGGACCTGTCCCATCGTGACTAACCAGAACTTTCTTCAGTTTTCCAAGAGACACTGCCTCAATGGAAAAAACATCAAGCTGCACGATAAAAAATAAACTGAATGACCATTAGGACATTTCCTTTCTCTAGAAAAAAGTAGCATCACTATTAGTACTATATTACTACATTACTACAGTGCTATATATTACTACTATATTATTATTACTAGTGCTATAAAAAATTACCATTTACATTTTATATGCAAAGTCCTACACTATGCCTTGTGGGACATACACAAGCAAGTAATGTATAATTCTTGTGCTCCTCAAGTACAGTCTAGTAAAAAAGATTTTAAAAATTTAATGACAACACTTAAGTCTACTACTACTAACGATACAAACAGCTCATATAGTCCTTACTAGACACAAACCCTTCCAGGTGTTTCTCACATATTAACTCGTTTAATTCTCAGAACAGTCTGTGAAGTAAGTACCACTCATTCTCTTGTTTTACAATTGAAGAGCCTGAGAGACCCAGAGTTCAATTAGTCACCCAAGGTCAACATCCAGTGAGTGAGCAGACAGGGATCAGACCCGGGAAGGCTGCCTCCAGGACGTGTGCTGTTCACCGTTGTTGCTTGCCTCTCAGCAGCTTTTGTTTCTAAATAAACTATGTATTGAAATATGTATGTGTACATTCACAGACATATGAAGTTTTAAATTATTAACTAGATATAAAGTATACAAATTACAAATACACAATACACTCAGTGCACATGTCCATGCAAGTAATACCATGTTAACTGCACCCCAAGACCTCTCCATGGCCCATCCCAGTCATTATCTCCCACAATGGTAACCACTATCTTAACATTTAACACTTTTAATTAGTTTCGTCAGATCTGGGACCATAAACGGAATCATACAGAAAGTACGTTCTCTTTCTGCCTGGCTTGTTTCACTCAATCTTTGTGAAATTTATCCATCTTGCTTTGTTTAACAGCATTTTGTTCATTTTAATGACTGAATATTATTCCACATTAGTCATCTGTTCTTCTGCTTATAAACAAAAATTATTTCTGGGTTTGGGGTATTACAAATAACGCTGCTTGGAACATTCTTATATATGTCTTTTTATGTATATATGTGTACATTTCTGTTGAAGAAATGCTGCTTTATAGAGTGTTAGTAGATAGTCTCAATTGTCCAAAATGCTTATACCAACGTATGCCCTGGATGCTCGGCGTATAAGAGGTCAGTGGAATCCACAGGCTGATCAATACTTGGTATTGTCCTTCTTTTAAAGTTTAAGCCATCTGATCGTGCACAGTGACACTTCATTATGGTTTTCACTGTATTTTCCTGATTACTAATAAAGTTGGGTATGTTTTTCATGTTTATTGGCTATTTGGATATCCTCTTTTAGAAAGTACATATTTAAATACGCTCACGTTTTAAACTGGGTTATCTGTCTTTTTCTTGTTGACTTGTGGATGTTCTGTACATAGTTTGGAAACAAGTACTTTGCTAGTACATATTTTACATCTTCTCCCACTTTCTGATTTGCCTTTTTACTCTCTTAATGGTGTCTTGAGGAACAGAAGTCTCATGTTAAAATGGTATAATTTATCTTTTTTTCTTTATACTTAGTGCTTTCTCTGTTTTGTCTTTAAAATCTTAGTCTATATGTGTACCCCTATGTTTATAGTAGCATTATTCACAATAGCCAAAAGGTGAAAGCAATCCAAGTTATAAACAAAATGTAGTATATACACACGATGGAATATTATTCAACCTTAAAAAAGGAAATTCTGACACATGCAATAACACAAATGAACCTTGAAGACAGTGTGCTAAGTGAAATAAGCCAGTCACAGAAAGACAAGTACTCTACGCTTCCACTTAGATGAGGTATCTAAGGGAGACAAATTCATAGAAACAAAAAGTGGAATGGTGGTTGCCAGGGGCTGAGGTGGGGGGAAAGAGGGAGGGGAATGGGAGTTATTGTTTAATGGGTATAAGGTTTCAGTTCTGCAAGATGAAAAGAGTTCTGGAGATGGATGGTGGTGATGGTTGTACAACACTGTGAATGTACTCAACACCACTGAACTATACACTTAAAATGGTTAAGATGGTAAATTTCAGGTAGTGTTTACCACAATTAAAATCTTTTTAAGATCCTAGGCTACCTCCAGGATCATGAAGATTTTCTCTTATGTTATCTTCTAGATATTTTATTTTTTTACCTTTTACATTTATACCTAAATTTGCATAAGTTGATTTTTACGTTTTGTGTAAAATAGGGCTTATGATTTCTTAATTTCTATAATGATATCCAATTTACTCTCAGAACTTATTGAAAAGGCTATCCTTTCCCTGATGCTGCACATCAGAATATGTGGCTCTTTATCTGGCTTTATTCTGTTTCTTTGCTCTATTTGCCTTGCCTTGTACCAATTAATGCTTTCTTAATTACCTTGACTTCATAGTAAATCTCAATAACTGATAGTGTAAGCCCTCCAACTTTGTTTTTCTCAAGATTTATAATCTTCAAGATTATTTTGAGTGCACTTGACTCTGCATTTCCACATAAATTTTAGAATTAGAATGCCAATTTCCATTAACAAATATCTATGGGATTTTGGTTGGTATTGCATTGAAACTGCAGATCAATTAAGAGAGAAGTGAGAACTATATAATATTGAGTCTTCCAATCCACAAACGTAGTATATCTCTATTAATCGATGTATTTTTAAATTTTTCCAGTAATGTTTTGTAATTTTCCATGTAGAAGTCTTGCTGTGGCCACTATGGTGCCTGTTGTGGAATGGGCCTGTGGATAGGGTAAGCACGATGGCAGGCATGGAGGCTCTCTGTGCACGGCCCTAGGACATATGCTTCCTCCTCCTAGGCCACTTTAGTCACTGCTGCTATTGGTGCCCAGTCTGTCAGCTGAGGTCCTGGAGGGATCCTGTTCCTGCTGCCAACACCAATAACCTTTTTACACTTATATTGGCCCTTCATCTTTCCTTCTCTCCTTCTCTACACTCCCTCACTGTGCTTCCTGGGATCACCTCCCCCATTAACCACCTGTAGCACATGCCCCGGGCTCTGCTTTGGGAGAACTCACACGAAGGCCTCACTTTTTGAGTGGGAGTTTATGAAGGCCTATCTTTACAGCGTGGGCCCAGACTGAATCCCAGCCCCATGAGATCTCCTAAATCTCCGCACAGCATCTCAGGCTTTCCACTGCCACCTCTGATTGGCTTCTTGCTTCTAAGTTTCCACTTACAAAGGGCAGAAAGCTATACTGAACTTCAGGTTCTCCTCTGCACCTCCTTTCTCTCCAAGATCTTGGAATCCTCAAGCCCCACCTGCCTTAGCAGCTCTCCAGTGCCTTTAAAACAAATTTAAAACTAGTTGTCAGCAATATGGACATTTTGTTACAAGCTAGACCGCCCTCCTTGGAAGCAGAATCTTGGTTGTTTTGTTTCTGTTTTTGTTTTTAGTAGAAGAAGAAACTGGGAGTTACTTATGGCTGCATTGTTCCTGGTTAATCCAAAACAATAAGATGTTCACCAGGAAGTGACCACACCTTCCTGTACTTCCCAAGTGGTATCAAATGAGCATCTCAGGAATTTTCTGTTAGTGTCTTTTAGTTAAAAAAATTAAAGGAAGCATGGTGGGTAAGAATTGATAAGGATTTTCCTATTACCTGTCCACGCAGAAACATGACTTTGTTATTTTTGGATTGATGAAGTCTTCGATTTCCCGAATCTCCTCTGGTGCCAATCAGGTTGATAAATACATTAGACTCTGTCTCTGCACCTGGCTTCCTGCCAGTGTATATGTAGATCTCATAAGCCACCACTGAAACGTCAGAAATCTGATATTACCTTTCTCATTTTCACTTCCTTTTTGAATGTATTACATACCCTGGGAGGGAATCAGAATGTTCTTCAATGTAGTTGACATGAGTGTCTCTATGGTACCTGGCCCAGCTCTTTTTCTTATGTGACTCCTATTCAGACATACTCTTGGCTATTTCACGTTTACCTCATTCATACAGACTCCAGGCTACCCTCAGGACTACTGTTTCAAAATAATTATTGTTAGCAATTATGCACTTTCATTAACCACTACACTTTCACAGTTATTATAAGTTGTATTAAAAAAAAAAAAAAACTCTCTTCTGTCTTAATTAGATGAAAGGGGCAATTTTTCCCCCTGAAGTTTGGTTGTTCTAATCGTAACTGGTCACTTGTGCTGCTACTTCATAGAGATTACTACTCCAATAATGCAGATTTAATAGCCCTCTTGAGAAAGAAAAAGTACAAAGATCCTAGAAAGATGCAAATTTAAATATAATTTTTTAAAAAGAGCCCAGTGAGGTACCAGCAAATTATAATCCACTATATTTGACCTTAGAATTAAGGCAGTTTCTGAGACACAGGTAGAAGCCACTAATTAGAAGAGATTGCTCTTGCTGATACTACTAATGTGAATAATATCTTGGAGACAATGAGTACTTTTTATTTCCAGTCCTAGAACTCTTTATAGACCATACTCTATGCAATTGAACAGTGCATTTATAGAAATTCACATTAACATTTTCCAAAGAACTCAGACATGAAAATTCAACAAGTAAGAAAACAAGGTAAGTGAGAAACGTTGCCTGTTTCCATCATGCCTGACCTTTAAAAAGACAAATGTGGCATATTGGGAAATGGTGTAAGCAGAAAAGATAAATCAGTCTCCTTGTACAGTCTTACATATTCTAAAATACTCTAGAGTGAAACCTAGCTGAACTTAAGCAGAGAATTAGAACACTTCTCATGAATTTAGGACAACCAAAGAGATCTTTTAAACTACTATAAAGAAGATCCGGCCTTACAATCCATGTGACTGCCTAAACTGAATTAAGCCAAAACTTACGCTAGAATTCTTCATGAAAATAAGTACGTGGAAAAGCATGATTGGAAGTCTTTATAGGGAAATCAGGCTTCTGTTTACTGAAAATGTTTTCTTCATTTCAGATGAAGAGTGAACTTGTTTACCACTTTTTTTAAATGATGACGTTTAAAATATTAAGACACATATAAAGTAAAAAATTAATAGTTAAAAATTTGAAGTACATATCAAAATTTTTTTAGAACAGAGACTACATATTTATAGCACAAAGAAACGCACGCAGCTCTCCCCTGACCATTGTACATACCCCATGATCAAGGCACACGCCCTGCCTGCCACCTGCACACGTCTCAAATGCTTCTCAACACTGTGTTTCCAGAAGCTGCTATAAATTAAGTTTAATTCACACACACCACAAAAAAAAAAAACAACTTACTTCCCATCTAAAATTCAAAGAAAGTACAGTAAATGTACTAGAAATTTAGAACAAAGTGGTTATCATAGCTGAGGACTAAATTTTATTCTCAAACCACATCAAAAAGCGTCACATAGTTTAAATTGGAAGTTGAAAGAAAACATATCCCACCAGGAGAAACAGACATTTTGCTGGGATCTGTGACATCGACTCCACTTTAATAATATCAGATAACAATAATGCACTAAGCATTTGCTGTAGTTCTGCAACAAAAGCACGTAGAATCTTTTTTAAAATGCTAAATTCATAACAATAGATTCTAACTCCAGATTTTTTCATAATCTCTACGGCAATATAAAATTCTTCCTTCTCTAACTTAACACAAAGGGAGAACTTAAAGAATACCTAGTTAACAGTTGCATAGACACACCCTGCAATACCGTGTGCTTTAAAGCAGTCTTAGGAAGCGAAGAGCTCAGCGAATTCTTTGTTCACTCTCTCTCCTCGGGCATGAAAGTCAGGGCTCAATATTGTGATTTAAAGGCAGGGCAATATGTTCTAGCTAACAGACATGCATTCTGTTGTAAAAATATGGAAGGCTAACAAATTATCTTTACTCCAAGAGACAGACGGGTCCCCTAATCACAAGGAGGGGAACTCCTGAGGGAGCCCAACAGTAACTTTAAAAGTGGGTTAGAAGAGAACTCACAACCGACTTGAATACATGAAAAATACAAGGCTGGGTCTCTAGATATTGATGTTGTACAGAATGGAAGAGATCATTTTACCTGAACATGTCAAAGACAAGTATTACTAATCAATCAGCCTGACTACAAATAACCCTTCTTAAAGCACCAGATTTTAAGTAGTTATTAATATATCTATCATGTGATTTAGCTAAAAGTATCTGAAAGAGTTAACTTGTTGGTTTAGATTATCCATATATGTTGGACATTTTTGTGAAAATTTTTTTAACGTTCTTTTACCATAGTTGATTCTAAATTTTTCTTTCTGAGAATTAGTCAGTAGCCTCAGCTGCTTATGAAAGCCCTACTCACTCTGACAGAGTTGGCCACAAGCAGAGAATAAAATGCTTCTCTTCCTATTTGTCACAATTGTCATCCAATTCATTTGATAGCGAAACTATATATTTTCACCATTTTGGGAGTATTTTTTTCACTTGTGTTCTCAATGTCATCATCTTCAACACTCTCATGTTTATATTTACCTGTATTTATTGTCATTTCAACAATTTTCCCATCTCTCAAGGAAGGCATAGCACGTGTATCATTGTCAAGGCTCAGCATTCTTTGGGCTTATAAACCTGTGGCCTCCATAAGATTTAACATCATCTCAGTAGTGACACAAAAATCTTTCAAATTTTCACCTGTAGGGTTTTCTTCCAAACATCATTTTAGGCCAGTCTGTGCCAAGCGTTTCTTAACGATGATTTATCAGCATCAACTCCAAGTATTACCATCTCCATAAATAGCATCTTTAAGATTTCCTTTCAAGAAATCTTGGATTCTTCAGCCTCTGCTTACTGCAGCAAGCATAGGGTTAAAATTATATATATGTGTTCTTCGTGGGGACATACGTAATTCCTTAGTCACAAGGATGTATTAAAAATGTCACATGGCCAGGGAGGGGGCTGAAATAAATTCCTCAAATATGACTTTTCACTGGAAATTTAGGAGAGAGGAACCAAAGCCATGGTGGGACACGTGTTTCCGTCAGCAGAAGTTAGGAGAGAGGAAGCGATATGTAAAGTTGAAGTAGAAGGAGACACCTCAGGATGGCTAAAGGAAGCAGGGGGTGGCCCTCACACCAGGCGTCCTCTCCACATCTGAGGGTGACATCCAGGAATGAAGGCATCCATGTGGAGCAGGAAAGGGAGCAGAATGAGAAGAATTCTGAATTGACCAGTTTTTGACCAAAAGAAACTAAGCTTTATATTGGAAGTGACTGAGCTTATTTTGATTTAAAATGATTAATTTCTGTCATCAGTGGAAATAGGGGCTTGGAATATTTTTAAGTCAAGTTTGTAGAAATATGATTTACATGTAGCAAAATTCACTCTTTTAAGGTATATGGTTTTGATGAGTTTTGACAAGTGTTTACAAGTCCTGTGACTACCACCACAATCAAGATAGAGAATATTTCCATCACCTCAGAAAGTTTCCTTAGGAGGGCTGTGATTTTAATCAGTTATGGAGAATTTTTAAAAAGTTATATTTCTGCACTCATCAAAGCTATGATTGTGAAGATTCAAATCCATCATATGATGATAAAAAAGATGCAGATGTAGCAGATGTGGATGACATCTAGAAAGATTGTGTCATACATGATACCTGCCTGATTGAATGAACATATAAAGGAATTGAATCCAATTAACTGTTTATAAAATGTATTACATTTAGCACAGTTCTGTGATTTTAATCTGAATTCCATTTGAAGGACTGCCTCCTAATATCCTATCATGCCAAGACATTTTTCATTCCTTTGGTGGGCCATTTCTTGGTTACTCAAGGTATCAGATATGTAATGATGAGGGCAGCCTTTCCTCAAAGCTAGCTGGAATGGAGTGTTTTAAAGATCTAGACATCAGAAGTTTATTTGTAGAACTGAATTGAGTCCTTCACCCTCAGACTTATATGTATGTCTGTACATTCATAGGATGAAGAAGAGCCAGTGTACGTTTCAGGAGGAAAGGACCACCACTGACCCAGTCTAAGATGTCAAGACTGAACTTAAGAAGTACTGATGGCCAAATAAAGCCAGCCCAAGAGGTAAACATGGAAAGGAGCAGGCTGGTGCCTTATCCCAGTCTGCTGTTCGTCAGTATTAGAATGTCATAATAAATTAGCTGAACCAGAAAATGTTCCTCCTACATTTAGAAAGCTACTGCCAGAGAAATGCCCTAAAGGGAAGCAATCTTCTCAATTTAGGACGATTTTGAATAAATCATGAAAAAATATTTCATAATTCTGTTACTAAAGTCACCTGAAATTACCCATGATATATCAGGCAATGGCTGTGTTTGCAGGACTGTCTGTAGTCCAAGTCACGGTCGACCCTCACACTGAGCACCCTCCTGCAGGAGTGCGCTTATCTGTGTTTTGGGCATCTTGGTCTCCTTCTCCTAAACCTCACGTGTTGTAAGTACAGGGCTCATGTCTTTTTCAGTTTCGAACCCCTCACTCCTGGCACATGTAAATGTTTACTGAATAATACCGAATAAATGAATGTCTATCTATCTGTCTATCAAAAAGTGTTGTGTACTGCTCTCTGCTGGTTGCCCACAGAACCACTGAGGTACGAATCGTATAAAACCTGTGGCTCTGGCTGCTCTTCACCCAGAACTGAGCCTTAAACTAAGACTACCTTCCCAGGCTCTTTTTGCTCCCTACTTTGCTTTCATTCCCCATTCTATTTCAGGGTCCACCTGGCTTCTGGCCCTTCGGCTTTGTCTCCTAGTCTTAGATCTATATGTGCCAGAAGGAGTGGACAATAGACTCTGGCTTCCCAGACTCTGCCCTCTCTA